AGCAGCTCAAAACTTTTGCTAATGTTCTAGCATTTTTGCCGAGTATTTAATTGTTCCGTTTGTTAAAGATGGGTGAATTACCCATGACACACATAACAATTAACAGCAATCTTAGATTCCTCTAAATCCATTATCTCGAAAGATGGGACTTTTTAGATTCTTGATACGATGATTTAGACAAGAACATTGAAAACAGGCTGAAATCGTATTGTGATACGAGATAAGACATAAGGTACAGAAGAATCTCTCTAGCAGTAATGTTGCTCTAGAAACTATGATGAGATTAAAATTTTAATTATGGTGCTTTTGCGCGACTTTAGCTGACTTATAAAATGTCAAGGAACATCATCGATCAATAACACAAATTCACGATACCATTTTTCCGCTATTGAGCAGGTATGTTTTCGACACAGTAGCTTCAGCATTCTTTGGGTTAACTACAAAGCTTCACCGTCGCCATAGCTTTACCGTGCAATTGGTAAAGAATTCATGTTTCATCTCCACTTAATTACCACATCGACCTAACATCTTTTGTAGTAGGTTATCTGCCTACCGTATGTGGTTCGGTCATATGGGTGTTGGTTTCAAGCACAGATGATCCGCCAGGAGGAATACGAGATCGTACAAAACTAGATAGTCCCACTACAATAATTACATTATTTCCTTAACAAAGAAAATCCTCTTATTCAACCTTTGAAGCGCACAAAGCGATTCGCGTAAGGCACATCTTCGGGGTGTACATATGTACACATAGCTCTGTCAAATAGACATCCTCCCACTGTATTGCAAGGTTGCGGAGGCGCTAAGGACAAAGGTCTAAACGGAATTGCATTCCAAAACAGTAAATATTTTAAATTAATGTTTTCAAAGCTTACCGATGAAAGACCGATAGTAGTGGAGGGATTTGAACTTGTGTGGGCGCTGCCGGAACACCTAACCTATGTGGAGCTCGGGTCTGTAACAAGTATTAAGGTTTCAAACAAAAATCTTAAGAAAAGTGCAATGCTTGTTACTTACTGGACTCAATGGTGAGTTTGTAACACTTAGAGATGAGGCGCTTGATTTTGCGGTTGGTAAGTCCTAAATGTGTTGATTGACATTAGGAATATTGAGGAAATTTCCGCGTGATCTAATAAGTTTAGCTTTATCAGAGTCTAACATTACAGTATTCAAAGTTCACCAAATAGAACCTGCAGTGCATCTCACTGCGTAGTCCCCTTCCCCCACCTGTTATAGCAGCCATAGATGTAGGGTTCATATAAAAATACAATGTTAACCTTTTAATATTTGAACATTGATAGCGGCTTTGTTCTATTGTATGAAATCTCTGGGGTATGCCTACATTCTAGACTTTGTATTTTATGGGACTTTATCGCTGTCACCAAGCCCTGTATACATTTTAACTGTATCGCATCATCTCTTACTGAAATCTTTTATAAGACGCATTTCAGCTAAGAATATTGAGCAACACTGAAAAGAAGAATTATTAGTTAACCAAGAAAATCATTAATGAGCACTACAACGAGAGGAAAACTGGAAGTGTTAGATAGCTGCGAGCGTATATCGAGGTCCATATCCTCTCTACCCCGGCATCAAGTGCTTGGGTCTACTTTTATGGTTACCGAATGCGGCTGAATACTCAGACGTCTGCTATCAATGATGCCTAACTGGCTAAAGACTGAGCTTTCCAGTATCTTCGTTTGCGAAGGAAACGTTAATGCGCACAATTTTATTGCTTTTGCTCTACAACTACGTCTCACTTTTAGTCTATTGCTGCCATAACAGCAACTGTTAAGCTACAACATATATACATACATA